GGCCGACGGCGGAAGGCGGGCTGCCCACCCTCCTGCAGAGCCGCCTCCCGCCCGCATCGCGGAATTCGGATTGGCAACTATGCGAAACATGGATTGCGTGGCCCAGACTAAGAGAAGGTAATATTTTTCCAGATACAACCATTGAAAGAGAACATCTACAACACTGCGATTTAGAAAGAACTTAATAATAATGAGAATTAATAGGAAAGACATTCAACTTTGCGGAGGGGCGGTGAGGTGGTTTTTTTAAACAAACCCCAAATAGTGGTTTGATTCTGCACAGCTCTGGGCCTTAAAAAAAACCTTCTGCACTAAGCACAGGGCTAGATTTTCTTTGCTGTTGCTGCTGTTCATTTCTTTTTCTTAATTATGCAAATCTATTTACCACACAGCCATATTTTAGACTGAAATAAAACTCCCTAATATTTTCATGGCATAAATTATATATTCAGAGGAAGGCAACAAATAAAATTTTGCATAATTAAAAATTAGGACATATTGTAGACTTACTCCAGACCCTTGTCTCCAAAGTACTGGTAGTGAGCAGAAGAGTCATGCAGCTTATCAGTAAAACGAGTATGTACTTTTGCCATTTTTCTTCAGTGCTCATTTTAAGTTCGTTTTTTTTTTTTTTTTTAAAATGTCTGTGTTCTCAGTCCGCAACCTGGGAATTTTTTTTTTTTTTTTTTTAAACTGCATTCTTGCACAACATGTTGAACCTTCAACAAAAGAAACACAGAACTAAGCACTAAAGTTCTCCCAGCTAAAAGATGGATATATTAAAATAATAAAAAAATAAAAGGAAAAAACCTCTGCAAATAAAAAGAAACCTCTCCTCACTTGGGACACACATTTAACTTTTAAAAACTGAAAATTCATAAATACGGTCATCATATAACTTTAGAGAATTAAGGCTTCTAAAAACTTCAGTGCCAAAATAACCTCTCTGCATCAGTAGTAAGAATAAAATATTTTCCATTTTATGTTGTGCTTGCTTTTTTTTTTTTTTAAAGACTTTTCTTAGTTCCATAGAATTTTGTCACATAATATTATATACTGAAGGGGAGTGTTAGAACTGCTTATTGAGGTTTTAAGTAGTTGTTAGACTAAGTTACAGCGATAAAATTCGATTACTGATCTGATTCATTACTACTTTACATGGGGCGGTTGGCTCATTTCACTTTTTTTTCATGCTTAATGTGGCCATTTCTTCTATACTTGCCGTTTGGTATCCCATTCTGGTAATGTCCATTAACAGCACTATGGTCGTCATTTGACCAAAAATGTTTGCTTTGTTTGCGGATAAATTTTGTTATCCTGGCCAAAATGTAATAAAGTAAGGCAGCACCCACTAGTACGACAAAGGCAATATCCAGTAAGAAATACTGATATAAAGAGATGCTGTAAACAGCGGCACGTAGATGTTGGGCTCCGTTGTGACGGAGAATGTAATTAATCCAGTATACAGTCCGGTTAACAGGGTGACCAGGTTGGTCTTTGTGAATCTCAGACAGCCTCTGGGCCCGCTGTCGGTAGCTGCGGGGAAGAAAAAGAAAGAAAAGAGAAGAAAGGAAAAATCGTCATCAGCACTCTGGGCAACGCAAGCCTGCAAACACGTAAATATACTTAAGCCTCTTCAGATCACACAGCATATCACCGCAGGACTCTTGCGACCACCAGCATGCAGAGGGCTAGACAAGGCATATAATCTGTTTTTAAATCAGCCCTTACAGCTCATTGACAAAAAAAGACTAGAAAAGCAGACTCCTGTGTGACTAAAGGCAGAAATCCACCCTCCAGCAAAGTGATGAAGAGCCAAGCTGACCTGTTGCCAGAGGGGAGCCTTATCTAATCCTAAATTAATCCTATCAAGTGAGGCACATCTGCTGTTCCCACTGTAGAAGTGGCAACACACCCCGTCTAACACACCACCCATTTATGTTCTTGAGCAACTGAATTACTAGAGAAACACAGAACAAAGCAAGAAACTTGGTTTTGATTGCGCAATAGACTATTTCTGCTTGGGTCCAGAGCTCAGCCTAAAGCTTTCTATTTTTCTCAACAAGCCATCCCCAGCAGCTGATCATGCCAAATTCCTTCTCTCCACCCTCACAGCAGTTGCAGGGTCAACAGGTTATTTATGCAGGATTTGCCTTTATATTAAGGATAATTGCACAACGGAAAGGTGATGCAACTGATGTTATCGACACCTCTTTAGCGACATCCCCCTTCCCTGCGGTTCTGCTGCTCGCTCCTTACGGTGTTCTCCTTTCCCAAGGCAAGCGCCGCTTGAAGACTTTGCTCCCGTGAAAGCAAGAAGCATCGTCGGCACCATGCTCCAAAACTACTGTTAGCCGATACAATAAACCGCTAGCTAAGACCTCATTTTTGATATGAAGATGGTCTGAACATCACAGATGTTTGAAACAGAAGAGTTTGGAACAACTTGTGAAGTGACTCTCCCTGCACTTTTAATATTCTTGAGCAAATTCGTTTGCTGGAATTAGAAAGAGTTATGATACCTAGTTCATGGGCATTTACTTATTACACTTGAGTAACAGAAAAAAGTTTACCAAAACCAGACTGGAGTCCTCATATGCATAATAATTTGTAGGAACATTGTCATTGTACAAATGATCTTCCTGACCTTAAGAGAGGTATTACCAGCCAGAATGGGAAAATAATTTATTTCTTTTTAAAAACTTTATCATGGTAGAAAACAGTCACTCTTTTTTAATACATCCATACTTTTAGCTACAATCCAAACATGCCACCCTACAATTGTATAGGTGTATTTTGCTCCAGGTCCCTTAGGCAGCACAACAGACAGACTGCTAAATATGGAGTAATCAAGACACACACAAAGAGACATTGGTCTACAACAAGGAATAAGTCAGGACAGGTTTGCTTCTGTAACCTTTCTGCCCTTCACATGGCAACTGTCCCTAAAAGCAAATGAGACAAATCAAGTTTGGGTATATTGAGCAACGAGGCTAGCACCTACACAGGAACTTGATCAACTGAGTAATCTTGTGAAATGGGACAACTATCCAAAGACTTGTCCCAACTGTACACACAAATAAATCCCAACATGCCTTTTTCTTTTTTTTTTTCTCACCTTGCACAAAGGTTCTGTATATGCATACTTAACTCCTAACAATAACTTAAAAGTAAGAAACAATTGCTCATTCCATACCTGGGATCATTAATAACTTTTACTAGGGCTTCATACAATTCACTTTCAGTGACAGTCTTCCAGTTCAACAATATTCCCATGCCTTTGGCCTGCACGCGAGTCATAGTATCATAATGGTCTCCAAAAAGGGGAATCCCCACCACCGGGACCCCATGGTACATGGTTTCAAAAATGCTGTTCAAACCTCCGTGGCTAAGAAAAGCTTTAATGTTAGAGTGACCTGAAACCAGAAGAGGCATGAAGATTAGAAAAACATTTACATCTCCTCAACGTAAAGTTATTGAAGAAACTGGGTACAACATGTTTGTCGCCATGGTTCTGTGGCTGTAATTCGGGAAGGCAAAAATGAATGCAACTTGTTCTGAAGTTCTCCTTAAACCCACTCTGCTGAAATTTCACATGCATTAGGGAGGGAGAGGGAACAGCCAATGCAAGGAAAATTCTCGTGTATATGAGTAGTGTAAAATTATTAATGGAGTAATTAATATACATTGTTTACTCCTGAGTAGCAGCAGGTGGTGACTACAACAAGCTGAGCAGTACAAATGAACCAAGGAGAGAGCATTTTTCCTCATTATTCATATGAAACACAAGCTATTTAATGACAGGACAACTGATGTTACATTCTCTCTAGAGTTTCATGTGCCTTACTTCAGGCTAGCAAGATCTGACAATAATGGTAACAACCTCATGTAATGGAAAAATGAGACTGCCTGAGAGCAATTTAGTAACCAAAACAAATCTACCTGCTTTGAAAGTCATTTGCCTAATCATTACATTATAATAAATACTCCAGCTGACATGCACACACACTGCACACACACATGCTTAATGCATTCATCAGCGCCCTTCGTAGCACTGGAGCTGTTTTGCAAACAGGCAAACATCCAGGTATCCCAGAGACAACCATAAATATTCTACAGCCCCTTGGATCTGCAAGGTATTCAGCTACCCTTCAACAGGGAAGGAAGGGTGGGGAAAAAAAAAATACCTAGACTCTAACAGTCTTTATCAAAAGATGGAATAACATCAAGTTTCCTCTCTGCACCTGAGAACCGGGAGTACCTTCAGGTTACTTAAACAGAAAGGTTATTATCAGCTTGCAACACACGCCCAAGTTCTGTTAGAGCTCTCTTCAGAGAAAAATAAATGTGCATATATACAGCAGCACGTACAGATCCCCAAGACTTGTTTTGATGCAACATGAACAAATTTTGTATGCTCAGTTTTATGACTCTTCCATGAAGAGACCAGTGAACACCATACCATTCTTCTTCGTAACAGAGAAATTGAAATTTACAGTCATCAGTTCCCTAAAATAGCATATTCAAGAAAATTCCTACTTATTTATCTTTAATAATTACTTTTTCTCAAACTGCACAGCTTCTATGGTATAAATGACCCTTGTCAAAAGATCTTCCCATTTATTAGGCCAAATACTCTTTGGAATAACCATGTCCTTCCACCTTATTAACTTAAGGAAAAAAAATTTAGTTAGTATCAGGGAAAGATAATAAACATCAGAAAGGTGTTTGATTTCATCATCTTGAAATTCTGACAAATTCTATATTCTTGCTTATGACTTCCATTACAGAAATTATCCTAGCTTTATGACGACTGCTTATTCAGAGCATTGTTGGAAGAGCAACCTGAACTCGAGTAAGAATATGCAAGATATGATCAAAATAGATACTCACCAAGGAGGTCATTTTGTGGTAACCATTCTATAAGCTTCGTATTGTTGCCTAAATTCCTTGGTTTGTTTCCTGAAAACCTAAAACAATAAAATCAAATGGAAGCTAAGTTATGAAGACCTCCAAAACCAATTAACTCAAACCAAAGAATCAAACCAAATGATCCATGAGCCGTAAGCAGATTTCCAGTTACAGGGGGATACTATTTACTCACTATTACAAGAAAACAAAATAGGCTCAACCAAAATGCTGTAAATAGCTAATAACTTCCAGCTTCAGGCTTTCATCATTCTGTTTCCTTGCAATCTGGCTTGAAATGCAATGTTTTCTATTAATATAATGGCAACATAGTTCCTTCTCAAAGCATGTCTAAAACTTACCACTGTGACTGGCAGGAGGTTTTATAACCTCTCTGTGGTTCCAAGCCCATTGCTTTACTGAAAAGCCTAGCTGATGCTAGATAAATAGCTCCACCAAGAACATCCCATCAGCACACAAACAGTGATCCCTACCATCAACAGGAGGCATTCCCTCTCAGTTGGCCAGTTCCCTGTAGCTCTTGATAACTGACACGGTCTGATTTTAAAAGGAGTTACTAATACCAGCAAGGGAAAGGCTGACAGCTCAGCTTATGAGGCAATAAGCTATTGATGAAAAGTTTGGGATCAGACTATGAGACGTGTATTTTTCTTACTTACACAACTGTCTGAAACTCAATGACAACATCTTGCTCACCTGAGGTTGCTGGAAGAGTTTAGCCCACAAAAATACAGGCTCAAAGTACAAACTGATTTACGTATTAATGTTACACACAGTTAATACAGAAAGTTAAATACATTCTGAACAGAAAAGACTGTGACTACTAGAGGATAGAGCTGTTTTGTGACAGCTCCATCAAATGACTTAAAAATATTCTGGTTATTAGAAAGTATTAGAACCGTAACTTCATAAAGAATCACCTACATCTTCCAAATTAAGCAAGCCATACATCTTTACAACTGGCTTGTATATTCTGTATGTTGAAAAAAGCCTACGTTATTTATGCTAAGGTATATAAAAGCAAAAAAAAACACCAACTATGCTACTGGTTTTGGCTCTAACTAGTATTCCATCATCAGAAGCATATAAAGAACTACAGTGATCCCCATGATTTGGCATCGTGACATAAGACTACCAAGTAGGACTAGCTTTCTCATTTTCAGAAGCATCTAGTATAACAATCACTTGCATCCAACACAGACCACAGGTCAATGATCTGAAGGAAAAAAAAATATCAAAGCAAAGTTGGACTCAATTTCATATTTAGGTATTTAATTACGGATCTCAAATTCCCACTGGGGTGACTGAAAGCCACTTGCTCAGCTCTCCCAAAGACCACATCTCACACCTAGTCCCAGAGATATCTTCCCATTCCACCTATCATGATGGAAAAAAAGAGCAGGTGGGTTCCCTTATCCAAAAAGCCATTCAGCAGATAATAGACTGCAGGTAAAAACAGAACAAAACAAAAAACATAACAAAAAAGCACTGGTATGGAAATACAAGCCAGAAAAATTAAAAATTTTAACAGAAGGTTTCAACTGAAATTGTTGCTTTTGCATTAAAAAAGCTAGCCTCAAGAAAAATCCATTAAAAATTGATTTATTTATTACAGAAAGTAGATACTTCCTACAGAAAAACATTCCAGGGAAAACATGATGAAAGGATAAACAAAAGCAAAGCAGTAAGATCAGCTGGGACTAATAATTACAAGCCAAGCAGCGTTGCAGGCTTCATAAGAAACAAACATGTAGTGGCTCTACCCCAAACAAAAACTAATGAGATCTTTACTGCAACTACCAAAGGTTCAGTGCCACCTGAAGAACTTCCATTTTCCTGTTCATTAGTGGGCTTCACTATTTCAATTACACACAGCAGTGAAAACAGTCCTGAAGAGATGGGGGGGGGACAGCTTGCTAAATAGACTGCTGATACAGCTCGAAGTGTAGCAAGGACAGCAGTCGTAAGTTGTACGACGCTGATTATTTGGAAACCAATGGTTCCCATGAATTCCTCTGAATTGTATTCCAGAGCAGTGCTCCATGTGAAGCAGGGCTGACAAAACAGTTCTTGGATTTTTACAGTAAGTTGAGAGTGCCACTCAAGATGTTTTTAGAGCCAAGAAAGCTTATTTATTGATTTTTACTCCTGCAGATTTTTCTTCCTCCAATTTCTCACAAAAAAAAGATAAGTGAGACGAGCAATTATGAAAGTCTATGTTCACAGATAAAAGAGGAGAAAGGGCCCAAAAAAGCAAGGCAAAAGAAGAGAAGGAAGAAAGAAAACCTAGGATTAAATCAGCAGGATGTCATTCTTGCTCCCTAGGGTGGCTGCTTTATCAGAAATGATGACAGCATGTCACAAATGTTATAACCTCAGACTCTCTTTTCCCTGTCCCCAATCCTTCTGGGATATGAACTCAGCATCCGAGTATAACCTATGCCTTATTGTGCCACAAAATCATTCCCCCTCCTTATTACCAGGGGACTGCAACATTTCCACAAAGAGCGTCTTTTGAAAGAGTCAGGTCCTCTGTGCCACCCAGAGTGTCTCAATTTCAGCTTCTGCAACTCTAGATCAAGATGGTGCAATAGGAAATAAACACACTTCAAATCACCCCACGGACATCTATCATTGCACTTACCTCCAAATAACTCTCTGGGGCAGTCTGGCCAGAGCATGTGCTAACTTATTTGCTATATCTTCTGACAGGTATTTCACTCCAGCTCCAAATGAGACGAGGACAAAGCCATTTTCGTTAGCACCATTCACCCACGTTTGGAGATCCTGTTAAAGTGAAAGTTTATACTGAGCACTGTAGAAGCAGAGATAAGCCACAGAAACAGATTAAATAAACACTGTTTAGGAAGAACAGTTGTTGGTCCCTATGTTACTTCACAAGCCAAGTTTCAAAAGTCATAAACGTTTTAGAAGTCACCGAGTACAATGACTCGATGATTCAGAACCCACAGTACAGCCTACGAACAGCAAAATTCTTCCGTGTTTGTTTTAGCTTCCATATTAGCAACCAGTTTCATAAGACAATTTGTCCCTTCTTAACTGATCAGTTGACACACATTCACAAGTTAACACATTACGTTTTAACTCAGCAAGATATAAATAGATCCACCTTGTAGTATCAGCCTGGAAGTACAGCACAGGAAATACAGGAATGAAGTCTGGGACTTAACCGTGGGGTTTCTAGCCTTAAAGAAAGCGAGAGTACTTCAAAAAGGCTGTTTTTCTTCCCTTTATATAAAACAAACAAACACAACTTGAAAGAAGCAAGAACTTCAAAACACACCTTCAGTTTCCACTGCTCCAATATTTCAAGGAACAACACTGCATCTGCATGGCAAGTACAGGGTGGATGTCCCTCTTTCTTGGACCTATACGCTTTATCTTACTCAGACCTAACTCCGTGCCTCTTCCACTGCAAGTCACCAGCGTTATACTAAATACACACAAGCATAACAAAGGCCAAAGCCCTTTACATCCTTAAGCTCATCCTCCTCCTGTGATTACCCTGAAATTGAGTCTCTTGCAACGTCATTTTTCGCTGCCCCTCTTGATTCAAGGGCTGCCTCAACTTCGGCAAGGAAGGCAACACCACCGAAAGCAGAGGTCTGCGGTACCGCGGCTGCTCGGAAGCGCTCTGAAGGCAGAGCCAACATCAGTCTCCTGGGGGTAACCCGACGACCACGCCGTGAGATTCAAGTTCAGAGGCAGCAGCTTTTACAGCAGGGCCAGGCCCCTGCCTTCCACCGCACGGGGCCGTGGGGCTCTGGCCAAGAGATGCTCAGCCCACACGTGGTCACTGGCCCCACGCAGAACCACGGCCGGCCCAGGGTTTCATTGCACCAAACACCTCGGTGCCTTGGATCCACTCACAGGTAGTTCCTTCACAGCTGATGCTTCAGGCAAGTCACAGTTAAGTTGTAAAGAAAACCGCAGCATCCGGACGCCCGGGCTGACTTGGAGGAAATGGGGTTTGTGTCACCGAGGACAAAGCAAGCCAGCAGACACCACGACCCACCGCCACCACGACAGCAGGGCTCCGCAGGGTGGGAGGAAAAACCATCCGAGCGTACGAGAGAGAGCAGAGCTGCCAGCTAAACAAGTCTCAGAAAAGGTTGGTTGGTGTCGGGGGGCGAAAAAACAAAAAAAAAAAAAAAAAAAAAAAAGAGGTAAAAGCTCAGTGTATCCTTTACTTTTGGAAACACAGATTTAAATTCTATTTTTTCCAATGCAACTGTTGACAGTGGGAATTAAAAAAACTGTACCACTGACATGCAGACAGGTCAGTCTGCTGAAGAATATCTTCTATTTCCCAGAATATGATTTAATTCTGGGCTCACTAAATTTAAGCGTAAGCCTGTTCAACACCAGTACAGCAATAGGAAACGAGTAAAAAGAAAATTAAGAGCCCTGTTCACAATGCACCTCTTGTCCTGGTAATAAATAGCAGGCCAGACAGTAAGAGGGTAGCACGGCGTTACCCTATCTGAGCACAACCCCACCAAAGCTACCACAAAAACCAGCAGGGCTAACAAAGACCTGCACGTGACACCGGGGCTTGGCTGTACACTAGTCTCCGCTAGGCAGTGAAAGAGGGATTTCCTTTTTCTCTAGAATCCACACTTTTTTGTTTTTCTTCTTCCTTTTCCAGTTCACCTTTTCCATAATTTTTTTTTCCTATGTCTGTGGAGGAAGGGGGAAGAAGGGGAAGGAGGGGAAGTGTCTGCAACCTGCCTCGAAGCCGAATCATTTATTATGGGCTGAACTTCTGACAAGAAAGTTTCCAAGTGGTTTTGCAATTTAAAGTTTGTCCTTGAACTTTACTGAAGGACCTAAGGCATGCTGCAAACGTAATTATAAGATAGTCACTTTTACTCGGTGGTTCAACTAGTTACATCTTGAACTATTTCCTATTTATTGTTTAAAGCTAAATACAGAACAGCCTTTTGTGGGCTCTAGGACAAACCATTCTGACAAGCAATCGAGTACCATGCTGTAAAAGACAGCTCTCTGCCCATTGTGACATTCGATCAAGTGATATTCTGAGAGCTGAAGTCACTTGTTACAAGGTGGTTTTTTTTCTTCCAACAACTGGAAGCAGCCCAACATTCACAGCCTCTGGTGTTCACAGGGCACTCACCCACTCTGATACCCACTGGAGGGGCAGAAACCTGGAGGTTTCTGGAGTGCCTTCTGGATGCCAACTCCACGACATGGGTGCTTAAGAAGCCCACGCGAGGAGACACTTCGCTGGGCCTCGTATGTACAAGCAAAGAAGATCTTGTCTGGGGTGCAAATGTCAGGGGCAGCCTTGGCTGCAGTGACCGTGAGAGGGAGGAGTTCAGGATACTCAGCAGACGAGGAAGACAACAGCAGCATCTCCTGGACTTCAAGAGAACTGATTCTGGCCTCTTCAGAGACCTGCTTGAAAGAATCCCCTGGGATACAGCCCTGGAGAGAAGAGGGGTTCAGGAGAGCTGGTTGATATTCCAGCATCGCCTCCTCCAAGCTCAAGCATGGTTCATGCTGATGGGCAGTTAAAAAAGCAAAGGCGGCAGAAGGATGAACCAAGGACTCCTCGCAAGACTCAGATGTAAAAAGGAAGCATACACGAGGTAGAAACAGGGACGGGTGGCCTGGGGGGAATACAGAGGCACTGCCTGAGCTCGCAGGGATGGGGTTTGGAAAGTCAAAGCCCATTTGCAGCTGAATCTGGTAAGGGACACAAAGGGCAGCAAGGTACATGAGCAGCAAAAGGAAGACCAGGGGAAGCACGGGTCCACTGCTGAATGGGACAAGGGACCTGGTGACAAAAAATACGGTAAAGGTCAAGGTACCTCATACTTTCTTCATCTCAGCCTTTACTGGTAAGGCTGGCCTTCAGCAATCACAGGTCCCTCAGACCAGAAGGGAAGTCTGGAGCTAGGAAGACCCACCCTCAGTGGAAGATCAGGCTAGGCTACTCTTAAATGAACTGGACGTACACAAGTATATGGGACCTGACAGGATGCACCCCGAAGTCCCAGCAGGTGACCAGGAGCTGGCCAATGTCACTGCAAGGTCACTCTTGATTATCTTTGAAAGGTCAGGGCAAATGGAGGAGATTCCTGTGGACTGGGGGGGGGGGAAGTCTCTGTGTGTGAGGAAAAGCAAGTACCACTTGCATTTTCATGAAGGAGGATCCAGGGAATGGGCTGCTCAGCTCCACCTCGATCCCTGGAAGGTCATGGAACAAATAATCCTGGAGGTCACTTTCAAACATATTCCAGACAACATGAGTGGAGCAGTCAGCATGGATTTACGGAGAGAAAAATCAGGCTGATCAACGTGATAGCCTTCAACAGTGAGAAAACTGGCTCAGCGAATGAGGCAAGGATGGCAATAGTAAGGATGAGAAGAGGATAGCTGGCACTCCTGCTGATATATTTCTCATTCAGCATCGGGAAGTCCCACCTGTGACTACTACTGCTTGGCCAGACACACCATTTCTGCTGCTAGAGATCAGTCTGCTCTAGCTGAGGAACATCTCCCAAGGCTACTGCTCCTCTGTGCTTCATTAGAAACTCTGAGACTTCACAACTCTGTGACGTATTCACATAATAATAATAATTATACATCATTTTGTAAACACAGAGGCAGTATAAAATGTTTCTTTATAATGGAACTTTTAAAATGGCATTCAAAGATCCCCATGTATAACAACAAATAGCTATTAAGTACTTAGAATTTTACGTGGAGGAAAAGAAGAAAGGAACCTCACTATGTTCCAAGGAGTTAGAGTCACCCTACAAACAGGGTTTTGCATTTTATGGTTGTGCAATAGCAAAGCAACCTGCTTCGCATTATTATGGGTGATTTCATCACCAAACCTTTGTAACCCTTCCTTCTGAAGGTAATCCCACTGCTTCCATGGAACATAACATGCACAAAGGGGAACTTAAAATCTTGACAGGCAAGACAAGATCCTGCCATCAGGCTCCGAAGATGGAATTTGTTCACCGTATTAAATGGCATTACATAAAAAAAATAAAAATCAATGGCATACAAAAAGTGTTTTATTTTGTATAAACTGAAGCTTATTATCTGAGAGCTCCCTCTCAAACTGGGACCCAAGCAACAGAAGTCTGCAGGGAAAGATTTTAATTAACTTCAGAAATCAACCATGCTTCCCCTGCAGTCAGGTCCACACAAGGAAGAGACATGTGAAATGAGGTTGGCCATGCTCTGAGTTGGTCAGGTGCAAATCAGTTCCGATCCAACTGGTACGTAACGATTAATGCAAGTGCAGCAGGCAGGGACTTAGCTCAGACAGAACAGCCTACACTGCTACCATGGGCTTCCAGACTAGAGCTGGATGATGCCTGGCCAACAAAAATCAGAAGTGAAGGAACTTGAAGTTGTCCTCAGGGTTTCTTTTAGGACACTAAATTAGAAATAATATGATTTTGATTCCTCAGAGTTAAGGTCAAAACCGTCCTGTATCAACCTCGAGAAGATCCAGAAGAGTTTTAACTCAGTTTGTCATATTTTGACATCAACTGAAAGGTTCTTTTTTTCCCCCCACTCAAATTTGTCCTATTTTTACTTAAGCTTTACATCATGCTGGTAGTAACGAGGAATTGCTTGCCTGCCTCCTGATCTGCAGCCCCTTTCCAATCTGCTTCCCCAGAGGGGTGCTGGAGATCAGGACCATGCATAGGCTGCAGACAATGAACTACAGACTTGTCAGGACAAGGGTTCTCTTTGCATACTTCTGTGTAATTCCTGGC